GCCTCTTCTCTTACGTGCATCATTCTGATAACATAATAAAACATAGGAAACTAAAATCATGCAGATCTGGGGATGGAATTTGCGCAGAAGCCAAATACAATATAGTTTTGTTGTCAGTATATTGATTTACAAAAATCCCAAAAAGTAATGGCATTCTTATTGGTAAGTTGACGAGAGCTTGCTGAGACAGAATGATATTTAATTTACTGTTGTTTAGCAGACTCCAAGGCAACGAGGATGTCATTGAAATGTATGAACGCGTTGGGATATTCATAGAAAATTAATTCCAAGACTATTATGCAATTATTGACTCAAACGTGTACAGACTCCAGTTGTTTGAATGATTTGAAATGCCAGTAATCTGCAGGTAGGTTAATAAAACATTTATGTTATGTGGAACCATTGTTAAGGAAAGTAGATTCAAAATATGATTCATATTTTTGACACGAATAAGGCAGCTTTAATCAAGAAGCCCCGCGAGGTGCCGACGAGTGTTAGAAAATTAATAAAACTGAAGGGACACTTGATGAAAGCTTGAGGTCACATCAAGTGCTTTATTTAAAACCGGAATATCCGTTACAGAAACTGGGCTGGGATAAATAGAGTATAAAATAATAAATAAGAACACGTAAATAATATTAGAATACTGCTCATGATCATCCCCTCGACAACTCTCACTTTGAAGGATACGGAAGCGCTCTGAGAGGCTCAAGTTTTCCTCAGGATGGAATTATATTATTAGATCAACGCACACGTATATACATAATGTTAGATTAACGCAAACGTACATAATATTATATTACCGCACGCGTACATATCATTAGATTAACGCTCGCGTACATATCATTAGATTAACGCACACGTACATAATGTTAGATTAACGCAAGCGCACATAATAATATATTACCGCACTCGCAAATATCATTAGATTAACGCTTGCGTACATATCATTATATCAACGCACACGTACATAATATTATATTACCGCACGCGTATATATAATTAGATTAACGCACGCGTACAGGACGAAAATACATGAAAGGAAACTCACAAGCTGTTCATTGTTGTTCTGTTCCCGTTCGTGATTAAAGTTGAAAGAAGGCCAATTATTCATTCATTTACTAACTAAAGATAAATGCTGACGAGGCTCTCTCAAAACAGACTCATTTCGTACGCGATTACATTAATTCTCATCGTCATAAAATACCACTAGATCCATTATGTTATTTTTTGTTTACAATGCTAATGGTGCATTGTAAATGGTTGGAGTGAAACTAAAAGATATGCATTTGCTATACCGCATCGTAGTGTAGTATTTATTTACGTTGTTATTTTTTTGTGCGCAGAAACGTTAGTTTATAAAAAACGTACGTTACAATGCAACGGAAACTGTAACTAACGTATAACTTACTATAAATTTATTATAAACTCGTCGCAGAGTCATGTAACATTTTCATGAAATTCACGATTAGATGGGACTTTTCTATGTCAATGTCCCATGGCTTGTTTTGGATTAAAAAATAAGTTTTAACTCAAATCAATCTATGTGATGTTATCCCTAACATGCTTCAGAGTAACGTAACTTCATAAGTCGTTATCTTACATGTCAACATATTAGAACAACATGTGTGAATTCCACATTGATGTATGCTTTCTGACGACTAAGTGACTCAGTAATGCAACTACTACTTAGTTACTCCAAACCCAGACCTCCTATTTACACACTTGAGATATTTTTCAATTTGGTATGATGCAACATGATGTCTATTTATGTCGATACTTATTTCTGTAGGATATACACAGCTTATCTCATCACATAAGGTTGTTTGTATCATGACTAAGTCAGGGTGATATGACTGAGTCATGGTGATATGACTAAGTCAAGGTGATATGATTGAGTCATGCCTGAGTCATATCACCTTTTTTTTACTGATATACGCATTATAAAGTCTATGATAATTTCCAGTTTCGTATATCAGGTCGAGTTTGATTCATAGATTCAAACGCATTATACAATGTTTTTATTCACTTTCTTTCGAGTAAAAGTAATTATTAATTTAATAGTACTGGGTGAAAGAAATTTGCATAACATAATTTTTTGGTATTCAAGACTTTAAAACAAAGTACAGTATATGACGCGAATTTTCACCATATCCGTGAAACAGAAAACGTTTCGGAGTCCAGCTCAATTGCCTGTTGGACAATTCTATAATGTAAGTACTATCAAATAGTAATCCAAAATTCATATGCAGACATTATAACCTAAATTTATGAATGAAGACTTTAAAAATAATTGGCTTGAAATAACTACAAGGACAACTACGATAATTATAAGGCTTATCTATTTACAATTTCAAGTGGAAAGAAACTGAGTGCGGTTATAAATACTATTTAATTGCTCCTACATTCTAGTATTGTCGAACTGACGATCGAGCTGGATTATGGAATGTTTTTTTTTAATATCCGGTGATTTTTTTCGCGGCAACTTCTTTCATTTCAAATGTTTGGTAAATTGGCAATTCAAGCCATCAACTGACCCTAGTGTTCAGATCTAAGGTATCATTTGCATTTGCACGGTAATTGATTCAAAATGCACAGGAATAGAGTCTCAGAATATCGCAAATCTTCTTTGAATATGGCTACATTAATTTTAATTTTTTCATTCAACGACCTTAAGAGAGAAAATATAATCTTTTCCTTTAGTCACTTTAAAAATTTACACCTGCAGAGGATTGCCAATAACTTCTGAGAGCTTTAGAAATAAGGAACATGATATTACTGATCAGAAACGTGCTATATGTGTTCGGAGCTTATGATGCCCGAAATGTTATCTTCCGAAACTATTGTTCACTCCACGATAAAATAATCTGCTTATCTGCCACAGATATGGAAGTGATAAAGCACTTGATTGAGCGACGTACAAGAACAGCCTTAGAACGTTTCATGATTTTTGCTTGAAAATTTCCTGATTCTCATTCCATTAATTTTTTTATTGAATATTTTGCTAGTGAAAATAACTGTATGAATTGGTTGCCAGTTGTGTGCGTGCAATCAATTTCAACAGCGCTTTGGGCACTCGAACGTCGAACTTCATACTTATTGTGGTCTGCTTCAGTGACCAAGGTGAGCTTTTGTAAAATTCAAAGTTTGGTTCCTTCTAAAATCTCATTGTTGATTTGACTAAGAATGCTTCGAAAATTTATGCTCTCGGGGCAGTTACGAGTAACCATAACAGTATTTGCTCGGCTCGGGTTCTTCTTTAAATATATAACTTAATTAGGGTGAAATACTCTAGGCATGCAGCGCACAGTTATGTGTTTGAGTACGCTATTATAGGGATATCTTCGCTCGGTGCGCGGATCTCGTTGCAACACGAAGAATGATGAAACATTTCTACGCTTATTGAAAACGGGTTGTTCGTCTTACATCTTTCAAATATCTTTTATAGCTATTTTAACTTTTCTGGCGTTGGCAAATAGACTTATATCATCGAGAGGCATGTCATTGAAATTGATTATTGTTGCATTTAATTTCAATTCAGGGCCTACATATTTCAAATATCTTTTATAGCTATTTTAACTTTACTGCCATTGACAAATAGACTTATAACATCGAAAGGCATGTCATTGAAATTAATTATTGTTGCATTTAACTTCAATTCAGGGCCTTAAAATTTGCGTGTTTTTACGACATGAAATTACGTAACACATCAACGCTGAAGATTAAAACTCTACGTAACATTATCCTCCGTAGCTTCAGCTAACTTTATTATATGGGACTCCCCGACCGTTGCACATGATAAGGTAACAAAATCGTCATAGTTTTCTGATATTAATCAACCTTCTGCTGCAAGACCTTGTTATTTACAATATGGGAACGGTACTGTTGGAAATATGATAAAATTCGTGACCGAGATTCAACTGGTCTTGCGTTTCAAAACTCACTCAGTCGAGATAATGCGCACTGGAACGAACTGCAAAGCAAGACTATACCGCCTGCTTATCACTCACAACTGATTAGTAGTGATTCACTTTTGTATAGTGCGCATTTAAAATAATTGAAAACAATGTCCATTTAAGCTGATTCAATCAAATTTTAATTTGTGAACGCAAACGAGACAAAGTAATAACTCTGCTCATTGGAATAAGTAGTCGATCTCCTTGTAATAAACATGCTCATGTTTACCCTAAAGCTTGAAATCTGAAGGTCCGAGAAATAAAATCTTGCATACAAATTAAATTTTAGTTTAATCACACACATTTTGAAGAAAACACTCAATGTCGCAGTTTTAAGCGAAATCTCATCGGCTAATGCCTTGGTCGATAAACGTTATCAAGCCTTGTCTGATGGCATCAATATAAATGGCATAAAACGCTAAAATAGAATATTTTTGAAATAGCTTTCTGAAAAAGTTAATAAAATTAGTGCCGGATGACATACAAGAAGAATAAAAAAGTTTGTTAAAAAATGTGTTTACGATAAACCGCTGGCATTCTTCCTCTTTTCATGGTCTCACATAATTAAAGAATTACATTGTTTGAATTATTCATCGGCAGCGACTGTACTATGATAAACAGAAATGGACACCGGTATAGAAAACAATATCTTATTGTTGGCATTAATGGACAGCGAACGTACAAAAATAAATCGATATCGGTATGACATCAACAGCTAAAACCTTCTGCTCTTTATCTCTTGTGATTGCTGAGTCAGACATAGTGGCGCTGGGAATGTTATAAGAACTTAAAAAAAACTAAACAGTAGCAACATTGAAAAGCATAGGTCATAATTTTCACTTTCAATAACATTGAAAGTAAAAAATATTAGAAAAACTCTCCAGAAACAGGATATGAGTTGAAAAAAAAGTCAGTTGGAACAAACAATTGATAAAGTTCGAAAATGTTTCTACGTAGTTGCCTGGTGGAGCAGCTAGATAAGGCGATAAGACTGGCCTTATCAGCAGGTATAAAAAGAACCCCAAAATAATATCGGGTGCAGTCAAACAGACCCGTGAGACGTGTTTGTTCAGGTGAGGGTGAAATGAGGATAAACATTTTGTTATTTTGCATCACTGATTATCATAATTACTTTGTAGTATCGGTCTTTGAAAATGTTTATTGATGTATTGATATTTTGTAACTAAATTTTTAGGAAAAGTTGTACTATTTTTAACTCTGATATTTTTCATTTGCTCGCAGTTATTTTGCTGTATCAGTCAGGTAACTTTACTTGTATTCAAATGCCAATGAAATTTTGAGATAAAAATGCATCCAAACAGAAACAGAGTTAATGAAATCAATATTAATTGTAACATTGCTACATATTATAAATATCTAATAATAGTCGATCCGTCAGTGCAATATGTGCTTGAATAAAATTTATTGTGTAAAATTTTCTTGTTCGACAGATACTTTGATGGACAAAACCATACGAATCAAATTTTTTGACCGGTGTGCGAATGGGGATACCTACAAAAAAATTTAGACATGTATCACATTTTAATATTTTATTTCATCCGCAAATTATTATAAATTTTAAAAATGAAACTCTTTCTTCCCTGCAGACAAACAACCCATCATGAACGCGTTACGAAAACTGTTCGAACCTTCATTTTCATCTTCAAATCCAAATGAAATAATAAACCTCACTAATCGGGAAGTGCAGTTATTCTTCTCAGAGAACACCTCAATTTTTCACGAACCAAGGAAACGAAAAAGGATGAGCGCTCCATCGCCGCCTCCCAAACGAATAAAGAAAACAATGGATATATATCAGTATGGTTTAGAGAATGGCATTAAACTACTTCTAATATTCAACATGAATAAATTTCTCAAATACAAAGAGAGGGAAGGATCTTGCAAGGACGTTGAAAACCTCCAACGAGTATTCGGCAAATTGGGCTTCAAGATAGAACTTCATGTGGACTGCAACAAGGAAAGTGTTGAAAACAAACTGGAAGAAATACGCACAAATAAAAATGGATTGAAAATCTCATTATTAATGGTGATTTTTATGAGTCATGGCGATGGAAGTGGTTCAAAAAATTTTATCACTTCTGATGAAAAGAGCATGAATTTGAAAACAGAAGTGATGACTCGCTTGAACGATCTGAACTGCCCTTCTCTTAAAGGTATACCCAAGGTTGTGGTTGGAGTCTTTTGTCGAACTGTCAGCGAAGAAAAACCAGCTGTTAGCCCTGATGTCTCAACTAAGTTTTCTAAGATGTCAATTGACCAAGCAGGAGATTCGAAACTTACTGCTGATGCAACAGAAATTTCGGATGCCAAGATTAATTTTACCAACACTGATGCAAGACTTACAGACAGTGAAGTTGAAGACCTTGAAGTTGATGCGTTGACAATGCCATGCTTGTCTTCGTTGGAAAATGATCAAGACTTCAGCGACTTTATGATACTTTTGTCGTGCAAGGAAGGAAGGTTTTCAAACAGATGTCCATTAAAAGGAACCATTTTTATACAAGCATTCTGTGATGTCGTTGAAAAATTTTCAAAGAACCGTGATATGAACAACATTTTTTGTAAAATTCAGAAAACAATGCGACGCATGAGTCCACCTGATCCTCGCTCATTGGAAGGTTTCGAGCCGGACATCGAAGTTATTTGCTTTGAAACACTTTTCCTCGAATGACATCGTTCGTTCATTCAAGATCCTAAACGTCATCGTCCACTTGCCTGGTTCTGTCTGTGATGCATTCCACACCTGCTGGCCGCTCACTTGTATTTATTCCATGGTTCTTCTCAACTGTATTGCATTCAAATGAACACTCTTTGATTGTTAAGCGAGCTTTCAAAAATTATTTTTGAGGAATTTAAACATTTTACAGGCTTTTTTTGTGGAATTTTAGGTTCTTCCGACAAGTTTCAGTTAGCCTAGCCTGACTTTGCGTCTTTTGCTGGAGTTTTGAAAAACACGTACAATAAATCTGAACTCTTTTTGCACAGGCCCGGCTTTTACAAACAACCGATAGAAAACTATCCTGAGTGATAGTCGCTAATTTGATTTTTTCTCAGGTGATTTTTTATCAATTGATTTTAATGGACGGGCTTGTGCAACTAATAATTAATTGGTTTAAATATTTTTGATCGATTGTTGAAGCTATAAATTGATTTTTATTCTTTCACAATCATTTTGAAAAATCACTGAAATTATCTTGCCATCCAGATAAATCTTTTTCTTAATTCCAGTGTTCTTATTTTGAAACTGAAATAAACTTTCGAGATAAATGAGTCTCCCAACTAATTTGGGCAGACATCGCATCTTTTTTCAATGGTTGAATTACTGGAATGGATTTGATTAGGCTCCTTAAAAATAATTTTTGAATGTTCGTTTGGCAATCGCGTCTGTGGTCAAACGATTTGAACTGAAGAAACACGTTAGGGAAAAATGTCATATTTTTATCTTACTTTGATTGATTTGACCTAAATTGCGTGTATTTGTTTGGGTTATCCCTTACAGATGCAAGCTCCAAGACGGACTTAATCAAAAGCTCAACAAAACTTAAGTTAAAAAATGTGGTTTCGACTGCCCCACATTTTGTAACTTGAGTTTTGTCTGTTCAAATGATTGAAGTTTCCGAGTTATATCATCCCTGTCAAACTTTTGATAACTGGTTTTCTTTTGGACATTTTGCTGTGAATCAGCACCGCAAGTAAAAAATTCACATGAACTAATAATTTTTATTTCTTCCTGTTAATTAGATACTAATATCATTGTTGCAGGCTATGACAACCAAAAGGATTAATATGTACGACTAAATTCGCATTCTTCAACTTAACTTTGAATTTATCCCAATTTAACGGAATTCAAGTTGAGAGAGAAACATGGTTGCTGACCAATGAGACATTGACTGTCTTGATCCATGCCTTCTGTTGATTGACTCCAAAGCGAAGCGCATTCATTTAAGTATGTAAATTAAGGCGTACAGAAATGGACATTTCCAATAACTTTTCCTCTTCCATTATGCGTCTCTTTCATTATTCACAGATGTTATCATTTAGCATAATAATAATAATGTTGTCAGTATTCTTCAGCCCATATATGGCCTGTCACCGATTCTTGACATCGTAGAATTCTCGCAGTTTGCTGGACTTTGCAGTCGAAAATCACTGCCACTGCTCCTATCTTGCTGTTCTCAACCATCCGTCCACGTAGCCGATTTTTACCAAAGTATTCACGCGAAGCTGGAATCGAACCTCCAACTAGCTGCTCCAATCCTGCTATTCAGAACTTTATCCAATGGGCCATTTGGACGATACTTGCTCTAGACCCAGCTTTTTACCTGCATTCATCTTAAATTGCACGTAATTACAAAAGGAAAAATTACACGTAATTTTTCGTCAGGAAAATAATCTACTTTGCTTGCTTATCTTTGTTTATTATATTTTGGCCGATATCGTTATTAAGGATTATCTGAAGATAGCGCTTCGACTCGTGTTCCGAAGTTATCTCGTATACGTGTTCGCCTTCATTTGACAATTATTTTAACCCGATCAACCTCACTGTTGTGCGTTTGCTAATATTTTTATGCACGTACCCCGCGTGTAAACGAGTTTCCAAAGTCACTTATACAGATATCATTCAAATAAGAGTAACGGATTCGGATAAGATTAGAATATGTTTTTAATCATGGTGATATGGTTTTGAATCATGTTTTTAAATCAGAAAATGTTTTTTTATGAAACGTTGTAAGAGTTGGAAAATCGAAGATACACATCAGATTAATGTTTCGACAAATTTTAAAATTAATTATTCAGGACCGCTCATAAATCTTTCGTAACTATTCCTTTAGGATCTTATTAGAAAAAATTGTTTCAGATATTAATTGCCTATATTACAAAATTTCAGTGTCCATATCTGATAAAATACACATGTTAATTTAGAATATTCCTCTAATTTTTCAAATGCAATTGTATTGCTTCACAGCAACCATGATGACAAATTCTTCAAGATGCAAGCTGAGGAATCACTAGAGTATTTTTTTAAATTTAGAAATCAAAAAGGTCCAACCTAGAGCTTAAAACCTACGAATCTAATCTCTAATACCGATTCCAATAAACTTAAAATTTTGGTTTGAAGTTAAGTTCCATAAAACTCTCTCCGTGAATGATTAATTAAATCATTTTCCTCCAGCGTTCGTTGTACACTTGGTACTATCATTTAAACTATCCGTTCATATTGGCTGTCTTACTGATATGTATTTTATGATTCTAGGAAAATACAAAGCGTTAAGTGAAGTAATTCCTGCCAGCAGATGGTGTTCAGTAATGCCACGCACAGCTGCGTGCGCAGTAATGTCGGCATTTCTCTAGCAAGTCAGAAGAGTTGGATTGTCTTTTATTCCTCTAGGGGACTAGAAATTGCCTCCCTAGAGAAACTCTCTTCCCATTTGCCACTTCGTTGCACCTTGATTTGTTTTCCACCAGAATAAGAAAAAGACAATGATTTTCTCGTTGCTTTTGAGCATCGAATTTTCAGGTTGAGAGCTTCAGTGGTCGTAAGCAGGACCGCCCGCCGCCGGCCTCCTGCGCCAGCGCTGCGACAGCCGAGGTTTACGGTACGGCGAATAGGAGTAACAGGTTTCTGTATTGTTGTTATATAGAATTATAATACAATGTAGTAACAATAATATGAATATAAATTACCTATAAGTAAACCGAGGTCGTAAAATTACCGACTAAGCGTGAAATTGATTCAATAATATTTCTATTTTTAAATGCTAAGCGTCATTCCATATGCCACACCGTGACAGCAGAGCTACTCGTCATCATGCGTCAGAGGTGCGTTAAAGCTTATGGACTGACTTCCCGTAGTAAATTTTCTGTATTCTCTTAGTTGTGCCCGGCACAGCTCTATTTCTTCCTTTATTTTCCCAAAGTCCAATTGTCAAGTTCAAGTTGGCGGACTGGCCGAGCAAATGCTCCCGCCCGGGCGCTTTCCGTTCTACTGCATGGCCGTCGCCAAGCTTTATTCGCAAACTTGTGTCAATGGCGACAGAAAAGATCGCAAGAAATCATGCTTTCTCTATTTGCGCCGTCAGACTCATTGGGAAGTTTAGATTGGCGACGACTCAAGACTTGGGTCAGCTGACTGCCGGCCATGACCGCGCGCTGCTCTCCGACGCAATTACGTGCATGATCTGACGTGGCGTATTTCTGATATATGGATTTTCAAAATTGCAAAGAAGGTTCAGTTGTTATTAAGCTTAACCAACCGTTACTGCTGTGTCGATGCTCTTTTTAGGATCCCGTGTTCATTGTTCATATTCAAATCCTGTCAATTAAATGGTAAATCTTCTCGCTTATTATAAAGCCTCCTAAGTAATTACACAATACTTTGACGTTAATTTGAGCATCAATAGGCGTTCCTGTTTGAGAATTTTAATAGTAAAATTTTTTGCAGGTATATTCGTAACCATCCTACGGCTCCACCTTCGTCGCGGTCTCTCATTGTTTTGTCCCGCGAGGTCGTCATGACGCGCTCGTTCTTGCGTGTTCGCAGGATTTCCCGTCAGAATTGCCGACAAGATAATAAGCTGCTTATGAGACACCGGCGAGCTCTTCTCACTAATGACGGGAAGAGAAGACGGCTCGCCAACACTGCCGCAGAGATACAATAGATCTTCCTGAAACTATAAAAAATATCAGATCATATTCGTGTTGATCTCATGTTAACGCGGATTGGCCAGCAAATCAACAAAAAGATTTCAACATTCGTACGTGTAGTGAGATTTTATTTAATGAATTTGACACTCAATTTCGCCCATTATTCGCCCAATTTCGCCCATTAATTGAATGTGAACAAATTCAGCGATAACTTTTTGTTTTCGTCCCCGCTTGTCTCATCCATGACTCAGAAGGTTATGGTCGTGAGAGCTACAATAAAAAGCCAAATTCGCTCAAATTTCCTGGATAGTGACGCTTAAAACAAATCTTTTCTTTGCGCTTGGTCGAGCATTAGAATTAACTAAAAGAACTCTAATGGAGGCCACGGATTTGTATATGTAACTTGGCTGGGCCTTGTTGCTTCGAGCCTCTTGTTGGATTGTGCAGGGAATTTTAATAAATTACAATGGGCTTGCGGTTGGCTCAGCTGGCCATGCAGTGCAAGACTACAGGGTGTAAGGAAGTCCTACATATTTTTCTTTAATTTTAGTGCAGTCGGTCAAGAAAATTATAGCTTAGCACTGCTTTGCTTAATAAGACATTTCTAACTCTTAAATATTAAGTTAAGAGGAAACCATTTGAACGTCCACGTCTGTACTGTAGGATCGTTAGGCTAGTCGTTGTGTCGTACAGAGTCGTGATGAATGATTCTAGGTTGACCGCCTAGTTATAAATATTATTGGTAAACGATGTGATGTATTTATTGTTTAATATTAATTCCATGTACATTCGTTGTCATTCTGTGTAAATCGGTGATTAGTTTTATTATGCTGATTAGTTTAGTTTTATCGAAGAAAAGATCAGAACTCAGAATTCAGAGAATTTCCCTGAAGTTTGAAACGGTAAGCAATAACAATAGTGGATAAAAATGGGTCCGAGGGGTGAAATAGGGTTTCATAGGATCACTCTTCGAACCCCAATCGAAGGGTTCGATTTTATTATTTAGGTTCTGTTTGACCAGACGTAAGGGGACGACTTTAAAGAATAATATAGTCCGAATATTACGTGCCGCAAATCATAACCCGTCAGTACTTTTTCAATTTTATTATTCTCGCTAAAAAATCTACATATATTATCCGGATCTAAATAATTTTTCGTATCGTATAACGTTTGCTTTTTTCGATTAATTTCAGTAGAACTCTTAAAGCTTTTAAGTAAATGCTGGAGCCAGTCTTCCAAAAATTCTTGAAACATAAGGAATTTACGGGGCGTTTTCTTTGCTTTCGAATACTGAAATGATTATTGAATTTAGGTTCGTGATCGATGATCAGTCAACCCTGAATCATATTATCACCAAAGCCCTATCGCTGTGGCTTTTATATTCCAGCTTCATGCTCACATGCACTTGTCAAAAATAATAAAAGCATCAGCGTCCTCTCCAC